AGTCTAATTATTAAGCACAAGTAATTTTTACTTATTTTCTTGCCTGTATTCCTTCCATTCAATGTATTTCATATTCGGTTTCTTCCGATGGCTTCTCTAATTTTACGTTTAGCCGCAAACATTCCATTATCAGCAAAACGACAAGTTTGAGACCATTCAATCTAGTTTTCCATTTCTGGCCTGTGCTTAGTCAGCTCCGATTTTTGAACCCAACAGTCTTTGCGGGCGCTTTTGTGCTCAGCCACACTTTGTCGAATGTGACGACTTTCTCTCTAAAAATGGGTATTACTGAAGAAAGTGTCGTAGTTTCCCAGAAAACCGTTTTTATTCCCCGCTTCCTTACTTGTTCACCTATTATTTTAGAGAGAATTCACGAAGGAAAAGACAAAACATGAGAAAAGGTCTCCCTATCTCTCCTTACGTATTCACCATTCAAAAAGCTATTCTTTATTGATCCAATGTTATTTTCTATAAAGACTAGGGGATAATTATTCTCAAGAAATATTATTTTAAGCCGATTCAGTTCATTGTCATAATGGTCTCTATCGGCTAGTCTTATGCTTTGAATAATAATATATTTTAAAACTCCGAACTTTGATTGGAGAAGAAGTTAATGATAAAACCAGCATGCGTTGGCTTTCTATCTACATCCCTGCTTAACTTCTCACCTGCTCTGATCACCAAGACATCTAAAAAGGGTAAATTATTGTTTATCTCCATTGTAAACTTAACATCGCAGTCAATATGCCGTATGGCAAAGTAGTCATCCATATATCTAACTAACAGATTGGATGTCAATCTTACCTCTTCCATGAAGTGTTCTTCCATTCTTGGTATGTAATTATTATATACGAAGAAAAGTTGGGTTTGGAGGAATCTCTTGTTTCATAATTGTTAAGCTTACTTCCATTTCGAGTAGAAGTGTTAGGTGAAGAGATTCGAAGGTCGGTTCCACCAGAAGACGACAGCGGATTTCTCTTGATCAGCTGTCGATTGGGTCTACTGGAAGATTCATGCTGACGCTGTTTCCGAGGCAATATCCTTCGATTCCGGTGAAAAGGTGCTAAGCTTTCGTCCGTCACATGACGAGCATCATCAGAGCAAGGTATCATCGTCACAACAAAATGCAAGCTAACGAGTCAAGTGGACTTGGTACATTCTCAGAAATTTCGTCGGCACCGAGTTTTCTTGACTCGTTAGTTTGAATTTTGCGGTGAAGATGATACCTTGCTCTGATGATGTCCGTCATATGAAGGACGAAATGCTTAGCACGTTTTTTTCCGAAATCGAAAGAGATTACCTCGGAAAT